CATTTGTTTTAGAGTTACACCAAAAACCAAAATCGATTTTGTGGAAAACCGATTTTGAGTCACTATGAATTAAATCATAAATATATTTTTAGATTTTTAAATTAATGAATGCAATGGATACTATTTCATCAAAAGCCAAGAAGTTATTAAAATACATTCCAACATACATTAAAATTAACCGCTGTTCAGATCTTCTCTGTCTAGAATTTTCTTTAGACCATAGCTATGAAGTACTATCATTGACAGCTTATGAGGGAAAGATTAACATTCAAGAAAACATTATCAATTATTTCTTAGACAAGGAGTATATTAAGTGTCAAAGCTGTACAAGTAAAAGGGTTATATCCGTCAGCATGAAAAGCCATTTGTTAATAGAACTACTATAGGTACTTTATATATTTAAAATAATGATAAAGAAAAGCAATTAATTTATATTAAAAAAAATTGTAATGTCTATAATATGTATACAAAATTATTCCGGAGATTGTCAATTGTATTTAGATTATATTTCAAAGATAATAACAATAAACTATGTCATTTATTTCTTAAGAGGTGCTATAGGATTTTGTGGTCAAGAAGGGGGGGGGGGGGCTTAAGAGTGACAACGGGACACTATAAAGCTTTCGCATATAGATCCAATGACCAATGGGAATTTTATGATGACCTCAGAGATGGAATATCATTAGCTACAAAAAAAAAATAAAATATTGAAATGTTATTGTATACAAAATAAATTGTAAAAATATAAAGTTAATATTTCAGATTTATTTATATTTTGTTTTTCCGATTCCAACCAATACATGCACTTAACATTACATTGAAATAAAAGAAAAAGAAGCTGGAAAGTAGGTATCGCTGTATTTTTTATCAAGTGGAATGGAAGTGTATCTAATAGTTGTTAAAGTATCAAAATTAGCTACATTAATATAATAATTAAGGAATAAGGTTTTAATTATTGGACTCAGTGTTCCAAAATTTGTTTGATTACCTGGTAAAATTATATTATAGTTGTTTTTTATTCTTGTATTATAAATTTATAACAATGAAAAGTCTGAAATTGACTTATATTTACAAAATACATTTTACATACACAATAATAAAATCCCTTGTTCATAAACTTGAATAATTCTAACTTTAAGATCTGAGTAAATTAAAAAAGTAGGATACAATTTTGGTTTTCAAAGTATAATTTTAATAAATACATTAATAGTATTAGATATAACATTAATATAGGTAGAGTATGTACATCCCCATTCCCCATACTAAACCACAATACAAGAAATTAAATGAACAAGAGTTAAATATATAACTCTAAGTGCTCTAATATCTATCATATTTTTGAGCATTCAAAACTTATATTAAAATAACTTTCTAAGGAGATTATTAACATAATAGATATGTTCAATACATTTAAGTCTATAGTCAAAGTATACTCCGAGATATAAAATACAATAAACTCCCTGCAAAGGTAAGCACTCACAAAGATGTTTAAATATTAACATTTATAAGAGAGCACAGAGAAAAGTCAGTGCTTATAATACAATATGAAGTATACGTAATATTAAAGACTATATTATTATATTTCGATTTAAATACAATATGTAGCAGTAAATTATTATTATCACAACTGTCTTTTACTGCAGGTAGGCAGTAATTAGCTATTGTATATAAATTGTCATAGTTATGACTTTATGAGTTATGCCTTTTAATCAGAATAACTATATCATCCACATTACAAAAAAATTCAGCATTACCCTTTATATTTAAAAGTCAGTTTATGTATATAATGAATAATACAGAGTCAAGTACTGTACCTTGAGGTAGGTACTGAGAAACAATTTGTGTTCAAATATCCATTTAGTATTACTTGTTGAGGTCTGATAGAAATAAATGTTTTAATTAAACTAAAAGCATTTCCGTTTATACCACAATATTATTCTAATTTTTAATTAATAAATCGTGATTCACGCAGTCAAAAGATTGTTTGAAATTCAGGAAAATACCAAAAACTTAACATTTTTTTTATTTAAATTACTATTGATACAATAAGATGTTTTGGTAAAATTATCAATAGAACACATATTTGAGAAAAAATCAAATCAGTTAAATGAAAAAAATATGTGTTTATCTAAAAGTGGTATTAATCTTGGATATTTGATTGGTACATTTCTCAAGTATTTTTGAAACAGTTAAAGCAATAGATCTGTGATTTCCACATTGTTTTCGATCTCCAGATTTAAGCAGTAATATAATCAAAGTTGTTGCACTGGCTTGCTCTAAAAGTTGTAAGTACCAACAAAAATATTTTTAAATTACAACATTATTACATACTCTAAGTTTAAATATGTTATTTCATCTAAATTTGAACTTAAAAAACCTATAAAAAGTTAGGTACAATATTTTTTCTACATAATGTTAACCTGGTACCCGGAATTATTATTGTGGTTTTCCGGGGCACCGGTTTGGTTACAAAATTGTTTTTTGTGGTTAAAAATTGTTACATAAAAGATTACATAATACCTTACTGTTTTCAAGTCGAAATATTAATTATTTAACGTTTCGAGTGCATTTTTTCTACATAACGTTACCCTGGCACCAGGAATGTGGATTGCGGTTTTCCGGGGCACCGATTTGGTTACACATTTTTTTTTGTGGTTACAAATTGTTACATAATACCAATCGGTTTCCAAGTCGAAATTTTAAATATTTAAAATAAATGGATACCATAAGGTTTTCATGTCGAAATTTTGACCCTGGGGTGCCAGGGTAAAACTCCTTTCCCAATGTACCTTTTTGATGTTTATTGCATGCCGGGTATTTTTTGGGGATATGTAAATTGCTTCTCGTGTATTTTTTGTGCATGTGTAAATTGCGTTCCGTTACCATAAGCCCCAACTGTTGAATATTCCTGTGTCAACTTTGTCCGAGATAGAATGGGTGTACCCTTTACTTGAATAGAAGGCCAGACAACATTTTTCAACAGCGTGTATATATTCTTTTCAAAATTGACATACAGTCGAACTGGGTTGAAATGCATGTCATTCTTTCTACATTCTTCATCTAAATGTTGAAATGTATCAAAATAACAATTAGTTGACTTTGATGGCAGTAAAAAATAAACAAGTAATTATTATTTAGCACACCATGAATAGTAAAGAGTTGATAAAATAATTTTGGGCAACTTTTGAAAGTACCGTCTACAAATAATTGTCAAATATCGTGTTCAAACTGCATTAAGCTTGTAATTTACTAACTCTCGAGAAACCTAATAAAATAATTTTTTTGTTATTATTCACTAACAAAAAATCTTTTTACTAAGTATTAAATTCCATATTTTTTAAAGTCTCGTTAATTTGTGTTAATGTAGTTGATAATTTGGGTAACTTTGAATTTTCAGATTTACTACTTTACTACTTTAGATTTTCAGTCCTTAGCTATAAATATTTAACATTTTAACCTACAAAATAATTTTTCCATTTTCAATACAGTAAATTCTGTCAAAATTTGAACTTTCAATGCTTATAAAAATAATTTGTGCAAGTGTGTTTTTAATATCGTTTTTTTTCCTTTACAGTTTTTTGGGTGTGATTTTTCCAAATACTTGTAGGTGTATATTATTCTTAAAAAAGCGTTTCGTTAATTGTTTAGTGGTGTTTTATTTTGGAATATAATTTTCATTGATTACATCTTAGTGATTAGAATAGTAATAATAATATACAAAATAGGTAATTATCAGAAATTAGTATTTCTATATTAGAATTTCATTGTTACGATATTATTTTTATTTATAGTGGAATATACTAATAAATTTATACAAACTAATGTTGTCCATAAATAAAATTCTCCAGAGCCCCCTGTGCTAGTTAAAAGTGAATACCAATTTTGGAAACACAGTCGAACTATAAAAGTATAATGAAGGTGATTTTCGAGGTCGGAGGTGATTTGGTGATCTTTAGCACTCTTGTTTCGAAGCAGGGGATGTTTAAAAATCGAGCTTCAGTGTCTAGAAATCTCCCATGGAAATGAAAATTGGCTCCAACCTCTAATCCCCAACCTCTATTGAGCACACTCTAACCACTGTTATAAAAAACCAAAAATTAATGTGATGAAAAAAGTAATTTTCTTATTTTAAAGAGCGTCAAAATTTAATACAAGGCAACTGATATATTTTTACAATAACAGTTGAAAAAGATTAAAAATACATAGTCGCAATTTTTTTGTTTATAAGCGTTTTAGTTCAAATTTTGACAAAACTGATCAAATTGAGTATTTACAAATAATTATTAAAAAATACTAAATTGTACTAAATTTTAGTAGTTAAAAATTTAAAAAATATTCAACTTTTAAATCTAAGGATGAAAAATTTAAAAGAAAGTTCCACGTCAGTAGTTTTTGGTAATTATGTTACCAAAAAGTCTAAAAATACATAACAGTTTATTTTTATAGTTATTTTAAGTTCAAATTATGACGAAATTACAAAAATTTTTACGAATTTTAATTATGTTGTTGTAATTTTATAATATTAATTCAACTTACTGTCTACCGTAATAATAATAAGTAATAACAATATAAATATAATATAAAACTTCCACACTCACAAACCATCAAAACTCAGAATAGTTTTTCGTATTAAAGAGCAAAATACACTTGAATATAAACAATAAATTCAAATAAGTAATATAATATAATATATATATCTTAAAAATTGTTATCACTTTTTTTTTTAATAGGTATGAAGAATTATAATAAAGTATCAGTAAATTCAAAAAAGGTATTTTGTATATATTAACAGGAAAAAATGTTTTTTTATAAATTGCAAATTATAGTTTAATTTTTAATACGTATAAATAAAAAATGAAGCTGACTTATAGATTATAGGACATAAGAACTGTTTTATTTACATACAAATATAATGGACATTGGTTAGATAAAATAATAATAATATAATATTTAATTTATTATTGTCCTATGTCATTATTTTGCACTAATTACAAATTAGATTAATTTCTTTCAAATACTCTTATTAGTTGAGATAGTGTTATATCATCCCATCTATCGAACATGTCACCGGAGAATAAATTTGTGATGTTTTCCTCAATAGAATCTCGAATAATAAAATTATGTACAAATGTAGGTCTAAAAACAAATAAATATTTTTATTATTTATTATATCTTAATAAGCCTAAACATATACACATATACAATATTCATACATTTGTGTGATGTATGTTATTAAAATAATTATCTTAATACCAAATAATTTATAATAAATAGTTTTACTTGGTTTGTGCTATTCTATGAATTCTCCCAATGGCTTGATGCTCATCTGCTTTGTTAATTATTGGCTCCATGAAAAATATTCTCGTTGCTTCAGTTAAATTCAATCCCTTAGAACCCTCGCTCAGTTTCATTAATAATGCATTTATTTTCTTATCTGACTAATAAAAAACAAACATACAATATTTCAATTTAATATTGTCTTTAGTATTCAATATTTACAGTAAAAATCCATAAAAATCAATTCTATGTTATGGTAATTTTTTTTTTTATAACAAGTGTTATGGACATAATACATTAATACCTCTATATACTATATAAAGGCCACTCTAAATAACGATCAAAATATAACTATCAAAAATAGGAAATGTTAAAATTGATGGAAGTTTATAGATATTTTAATGAAATTTTATGATAAATTGATTTACATGACTTTTTCTTATTAAATATATTTAACTTTCAATAGCCTCAAAAAAAAAAAACCTAAATGTACCGAAAATAATGAAGCCTTTACTGTCAAAAATATAAATTAGGAATAGCGAAAACACAAGCCACCAATTAAATGAAAATAAAATTAAGGTTTTAAAATTATTGAAATACAACAGTCATGATGAATTTAAATTATAAAAAAATGTAAACCAAATTAAATAATAAACAGTTTTCACTCTTCAAAAAAGTGATGTAGATTTAATTTGTAAAAAAAAAACAGGAATTTATTTTGAATTAAAAAAACCAAAATAATATGAATCAATTTTTTAATACTAATATTTGTAATATGCACTACTTATTTTTTAATTTTAATTTTCAACAACCCTATTAAATTAAAATTGTACATTGTAAAAACTTTTCAATATTACACATTTCATAAATACAATTTTTAGTGTTCGATGTGTATATATTACATATTATTATGTATATATTTTGTTTAAATGTATATGTATTTTATATAGAGGCCATCAGAAAGTATTGAAAGTATGTTCACCTCTGAATAGTGATAATTATTTTCGGTCCTCCGCTGACCATTATAAGGAAGTTTAACTATTATATATTACATCATTTTTTACATAATTATCTTAATTGTTTACATACCTTAAAATCTTTTAGTGTTTTTTTATACTTAGTTCCTGTTTTTAGTATCCTATAACTTATTGAATTTTGATCTAAAGCTTCTCCTAGAATATTTAATGCTTTATCCCACTAAAAAGAAAACACGTTATTTTTTAAAATGAAATAAACACTGAAAATATATATTTATGTCATACTATACAACAGAGAATTAATAAAACTCACATTTGAAAATATTAAAACTTTCACATTTGGATCCTGAGTAATCAATTCCATTAGTTTTAAAGTGACACTTTCTATTTTAGTAGAAAATGAGCCTTTGATTACTATGTTTGGCCCATCACCTTCTCGGTTATTTTTTACATAGGATATAGAATCCATTGGGGTTGTGTTCCTACACATAGGACAATCTATCTCAAAGGCAACTGAATGATTAAACATGGTTTCTAAACACTGATTACACACACTATGGCCACATTGTAAAACTGCCCACTGTTAACCAAAAATAAATTAATAATATTATACGTTCAATGTTCATATTGACATGCTCAACGAATAAGGCATTAACTCAATTTTCCAACATTTTTTTTTTCTAAATGGTATCACTGTTTTTCTGGACTTCCAACAAATACGGAAGTAAAGGCATTTTATTGCATACGTTCTACACAATAAAATAGAGTTACTGCCATCTTCGTTGGACTTCCGGAAAAACAGTGTTACCCTATAGAAAATAAAAATAAAAGTTGGAAAATTGAGTTACTGCCTTATTCGTTGCTCATGTTGATATAATTATTTGTTTTGAACATACCCCGGCATCACCATTCAGACAACAAATAGGACATATATCAACTTCAGTAGAGTTTTCTTTTTTTTTTTTAAATTTTTTAGATAAATAAGGGTTCCAACATTTTTTTCTAAATTAGCTGCGTTTCTTCTTATGTCTTCAGTTAACGACATCAGTTTTTTATTCACCTAAAAACAATTTGAAATTAAAAAAATTAAAAAACTGAGACACATTTATTATCTAAAGACTTATATAATGATATAAATATATACAAATAACTAACAATCTGTTCCGTAATAATAACATCAACTTCATCTTCTCTTTTAGACTTTTTTTTAAGTGGACCATCTTCGTTAGACGCTGTTGTAATATCAATTTTAACTCTCATTACATTTTTTGCCCTAATTATCATCTCATATTCATCAACACTGTCACTGAAATGAGTCCATAGAAGCCGTAAGTAACGGAATTCTGTACGTACCAACTCCAATACATTCATATGTTTAGCAGCATCTTCCAAACAGCTTTTATTTTTAATTTTGGCTTGTCCATATTGAAATAGTTCTGTTAAATATATATAACTGTTAAGAATTCTAAAAAAAAAAAATGATATAATACCACAACTTACTTAGAAGTAAAAATTCTTTTTGAGATATCTTCCAAAAGCCTTTACTATTTCTTTCATACATGGTTACTTCATCTTTTACTTCAGTTATATCATTTAATCTATTCTTTTGTTTATTAGAAACACTAAACAACAATGTTTCATATGCTTGTAATTGCATTTCAGCAACACATAAAAAACAAAGCCTAAGTATAAAAAAATCATAATTAAATTAAAGAAAAACAAAATACAAAATCATGTATACCTTTTTTTTGAATTCCAATTTGTTGATTCTTTATGTAGATGACATATTAATGCACTTTGAACCAAGTCATTCACGGATGTGTCTTCTAAAGCATTTAGTTTTGAGATTGTGTTGATTCTTGATGTATCTAGGTCAGCAAGCCAAACACCAAGAGTATTATGAACATCGTTTACAGACTTCAATCTAAATTAAATCAAAAACATATAAAGCAATTATACCAGATGCACAAAATATAAAATTACCTTTTTGCAATATTTGGAACACCAGGCATACGATAATCCTCCAACTCCGTTTTTACTTTAGCTAAAAAGTCAGTTGGTGAAAAAATCCAGTTCAACATATCTGACCACCATTCAGAATAACCTAGGGTTTTATTCCCAATAATTTTATCTATCTTATTCGAATAAAACTTAAGAAATGTATGAGTTGATGTATACTAAAATCAAAAATTAAAACATATATCATGTAAATATATTTACTATATTTTCTTTAAACTATTATATTTATAATTATCTTAACATAGACTAAAATAAATTGATTACCAGATTTGTTTAAGCTTTAAATATATACTAGCTCTAAGTCTCTAACCTGTGCAGACATTGCTAAAAAATTTTAAGAGGATATCAGCTCAATAGATTTACCCCTTCAGACAATATTCAAGCGAAATTGTTTTTTTAAGAAACAGTCAAAAATTATCGAAATGATGATGAAGACAGTAATTGGATTTTAATTAATTAATTAATTTTTTGTCATTGAGAAGATCTCAGCACCATTAACGAGGAGGGTTGTCTGGAATTATCTATTACCTATAGTTGAGATAAGAGGATTGATTTTATTTGACAATACGGTGTGGTATTTAGTTTTAATACTGTTTCTATATTTAGGTCTTTGTGGAGTGAGTCTTGTGTGAAATACCAAGGTCTTGGTATTCATATCAAGATGCTATTAGTCGGAGGGATATTGACTGAAAAGCTTGGAATTGGTTGGTTTGGACGGCTTGGCACATCTGGATATTTCGACACCATAAGGCTATAAGGGACTTATTATCAATATAAACAATAGAAGTTAATTGTGTATAGAAAGTTTAGATTTTAAGAAAGCACAAAGTGGGTGGAATTTCTGTTTTGATTTTAGGTTGGATCCCCAATGAGACACTTGACTTTAAAAGCCAAAGTATTAATTTGGTTTTTTGTTGGATATAAATCCATGTAAAGGACTAGAGGAATATCTATTTTTAAAGCAAATGGGACATGGAAAAATTTGTCTGCATTTATTATTATTCATGGATTGTAAAGTGTGATAAAATTGTAGTGCCATGCCTAACAAAGGTGTATCTTATGGGTTCATTAGACTTATTGCTGAATATTCAATCACAAACAATTGCCATATCAGTAGAAAATAAGATAGTCAAAACATTGTTTTGTAAAAAATATTATAAAAATCAAAAATATCTTGTGGAGTTAAATAACGTGACTTTTCGGTGAACTTCTTTTTGATAGACCTTCTATCAAAGCTTCCTATGTTAGCTAAAAATAAAATACTCTTATGAATTTCTAACTAAAAAATAATTTTAAAAATTTAAAAGTTTCTTATTGCTATAAATAGCTCAAAAAGTACAAACTGTTTGAAACATTATCAACGGAAAATAGTCATTTTTAGATTTGGAAAAAATTTCAATTATCTATGATGTGTTATTGAATTACAATAAAATATCGAAAATTCGTTCCTTTACAGATGAAAACCTGATATTGTACATTTTAATTTTTAATATTGTTTTATAAGATTTAATTAAAACAATATGAAACTTGTAGACTATATCGTAACTTATCACTAACACTTTTTTTACTAGCTTCAAGATATTCTTTTTCTAGTAGTTCCACATTCCTTTTTAAGTCTGATTCATTTAATGCACGGTTTATGGTTGTATTTTCATCAAGTATAATGGCCAAGTTATACATAACATGGATTTTCTAAAAACAAATAATAAATTAGATTATAAAAACATTAAAAAAATAAATATATTCTACCTGATGTGTAAAGATTTTTAGTTCTTTATCTTTATATTTTTCCTCTAGACCTAACACTGCCCTAAAATGTTCAACAGCAGTGGCTAGTTTTCCAATATAAAGAGACATTCCAGCATATATACTGTGCTCGTAAGCAAGTTTCCGTAAAAAATTATTACATACAAAATGACATTCATTTATCATTACATCCATTAACTTTTCCATTGTCATTGTTCCTTTTGTTTTTAAAAACTGTCCATTCACAGCCTAAAAAATAAAATAATTGTTGTTGAAACGTTTATTTACTTAAATTACACCCAAATAAAATTACTTGAGGGTGCACACAAGCTTGTCGAAGCTTATATAATGGTTCAATGATAGTATATATACTTTTCCTGTCAATATTCTTTACTGATATATCCAAGGATGGAAACAACCTTAACAAAATAATAATTTAATGAAATTAAAAATATTTAAAAAAAATATAATTTATTATTTAAATTTAAATACTGACATTAAAACAATAAATTATAATTTTGTAAAAATATTAAATTGTTAATTCTCAACATGGAAACATATAGATTATATTATACTTTCCACATATTGCCCTAAACTAACATAAACCATATTTACAAAATCAAGAACATCCCACTAATAATTAGATTTAATTACATTAAAATAGATTCTGTATGGATCATAACTAGGGCTAGGATTTCTATGCATATCCGAATTCTATGGAGTCCGAATTGATTGGTTGCTTGACATGTCCACAATTTGGATTATTCTTGATTAAATAGAACAACTTTTTTTTGTATCTCTATGTATCTATTCATAAGTGCTAAACCATTTAACCTTTCCTCACCGGTAGAGTTTCTTAAATATGTCATGATTCTTTTTAAAGAAGAAGAACTTCTTTCATCCGATGCCGTTGATACAGGCAAAATTGCAAGAGGTATTAGTAAAATATTTTTATGTGGGAAATAATATTCGAGACATTTTGATAATGGGACCAATCCATTTTTTGGTAAGTCATTTTCTTCATTAGACTATTTTTGCTTCCAAAATTCAAATTCATTTTTTAATAAGTACATTTTGAATGTTGTAATTATTAAATCTTAAATCTTCTTGATGTATATCACTAAATGATAAATAACCAATTTTGCTTGGTAATAAAGAAGATAAAGAAATAAAAATATTAAGAGTTAATTTTAAAAAGTTCATTAAATGATGCTAGAATATCATCTAAATATGAAAAATATAATGATTGTCTGTTGTAAGAAATATGGTCATTATTGTGTATTGCATAATAGTCTCGATATTTTTGAGCCCAACTACTCTTGGTCTCGTCAACATTATAACTCTAAGATATAAACCAATAACGGATTACTAAAAATAAATATCTTAAATGAGATTTTGGGGGTATGGGATTAAGCCCCCGGAAATGGCACCAATTTATGTTTTTCATTAGTACAACAGTTTTTATATAAATAATAATTATAACAAATAAAAAATGGTTATTAGAAGATAGGTTCTGTTTTAATAAGTTTCTGATTTTTATTTAAAAAATATTAAATGTTATGTTGAAATAAAAACATTATTTTGATGGTTCATGAACAAGATCTTGAACAAATAGAGTCCTACCTTCATTCTTTTCTTGCTATCACTATACAACTATGGACAATGGACTGGAAAATAATATATACCGCCCGTCATTAAGCGCATGCACATTACGCAGTACTAAAATTTACATTTTATATTTAATATACATATGTCCTGAACTCCTGAATTAATTTAGATAATGAAAGTTGTCTGGATATGATATTTAATGGAATAAATATGAAAACATTATACTAATGTACAATATATCTTGGTTTGAGACAGAGGCAGATTCAAGATTGACAAAATAAAAGGCTTCGTTTCTCTATGGGTCTTGTCATAACATAACTAGGTATTTTGACACCATTGACAAAATCTTTTCACGGTAATTTAGGTGATCCCCAAAACAAAATATGAGGAAGAGGTTAATTTTCTGACTAAATGAATATTAAATCATCTACTGGTTGTATGATCTACACCCGGGATGGACAATTTAATAGACTTGTTATCGACCTTGAGTTCTCTTGGGTTGTTGCGATTGACTTTGACATGCTATGATTTAATAAGTGACCAGAAAAATAAGGTTTATAATTATTATAAATTTAATTCAGAAGTATTATAATGAACATTGGTTTGTTAAATTAAATACTTCAAATTGATATTATGTTATTATAAATTATTACCTGGTTACACAATTAGAAAAATTTGTAGCACAATCATCATGCTGGCTTCGGTAAAAGTATTTTTCAATCGGGGAAAATGTTAGCCAATGCTGTTCATGAGTTAGTTTTGGTATGTTTAATTCTGAACTGACATCCTCTATTGAACTACGCCATATCAATTTTGAAAAAAAATTATACATAATAGTTTCGTCCCCCTTCATTAGCTGTAGAAACTGTTTACGATGGCAGTAAGGACTTACTTCTAGGAACTTTAAAATACCATAAAGATCTAAAAAATAAAAATTTGTATTTTAAATATATTATAACACGCACCATCAAAAAAATAAAGAAATAAAACTTCAACAATTTAATATGTGTCATATCAGTGTTTTTCAACCGCCAGCAGTCATCTGTATTTTTATGTTTTATACCTTTGCGACAGCCGCGCCCATAGTTGATCATTATTACAACGCCACATGACCACCGGTGACCGTAAATTAATATGGTTTTTTTATAATTAACTTTTCTATGTCGCAACAAAATGTACTAAAAAGAGAGCAAGGCATAGTTTGAATCATTGCAATTCTTTTGTTGTAATAACTAATAAACATAAAATTTTAATTTTTTTAAATGTTTTTTTCAAATATAATTTCATATAAAAAATTTGGAATGACATGGAAAAATATGTTTGGCATGTGAATAACACATATTGGCCGATAGCGGTGACATGACAGTCAATTTATTAAATGTACATGTTATCCACGATGTGCGTATACAGTGAGTTCCGTAATGTAAACAATGGTTTATAGAATCAACGTTTATTGGTATCTAAATAGATAAACCCAAACCTAATCGTATGTTACAAATATTAAATCGACCTTCTATTAGAATTACTGTGTACCGGATAATTGAATCGCTTTTATAAACATTTTTATCGATTTATAGCTTTATTTATTTACTATAGCTTTTATGGCTTTTCATACTGATTATGTTGGAGAACTTTTAAAAATACTAGTTATACAATAAAATATTATTTTTAAACTTATCAGTGTAATGATATACATCAAATCATTTAGTATAGATGTTTTAGATCATGTTTTTCTTACATTGCGTCGAGCAATTGTAAAGATGTATCTACAAAAGAATAAATAGGTTTACTATTTTGATAATTTAATATATGTTCGCAATAAGAAACCGAATTTGTTTCGAAAACTCCCCAGCTTATATTAAACAATTATAAGTAAATATTATAATAATATAATAATAATAATATTATATTATAATTGTAAGCAAATAGATGTAAATGGGGCAAACAGTTGGCCACTTTCATGAAAACATATTACCTCCATCACTCTGATCATATTAAGTGGAACTATATGTAATATGTATCTATTAAGTATCAGATTAAGATCAGTTGGAACTATCCATCAACCGTGTGTTCTATTCATTAATGCTCTGTATATTAATATTCAAAGACCAATTAATATGCATAAGTTATTATTTAGATAAACAAACATTAAACATAATGTATTAATTTATAATGGTATGATAATTAACATACCGTTTAGTGATTTTTGTATTGGTGTACCAGTCATAGCCCACTTATGCACAGATTGTAATTTAAATGTCATATTATCACATACTTTGCTACTCGCACTCTCAATTGCTTGACTTTCATCCAAACATATTCGCCACCATTTAATGCAAGGCAATGGTGACTGAGGATAATTGTATCTTTTTGAATGTCGCAAATGGGTACAATTTTGATTATCCACATTCTTTAACAAAAAAATTACAATTATTCTTCACAAAACTATTATATATAAATTATCACAGTTGAATTAGTACATATTAAAAACAAAGGAGGAAGTTAATCCCGGTAGATGGCGGGGCGACATGGTGACTACATACGATTACAACATTACTAAATACAAGCCTGCGTCCATTAACACAGCCGCCCAAATTGGTAATGTTGTAATCGGTAGTAGTCACGCAGCCTCTTCATCTACCGGATGTTAAGATTTCGTTCCACCGAATAACCGGCTGGTGAGCAATCTATAGTATTTATAATCAATGTTTATACTATTAAACCATTATACTTACAAAATCGGCGACATACTTTAAATCTCTTGAGAGGGTAGTATACGATGTTATAACTATATCATAGTCACCGAATGAAAAGGGTTGAATATAACCATCAAGATGCAGGCCATTGTAAACATAAACTTTTAAACCAGGGTTTGTGATATGTTTTTCTATCTATAATTTATATCTTCAGTATTAATGCACAACAAAAATATATAACTAATTATTAAATGTTACCTCGTCAATCCACTGGTTTAAAATAGACTGTGGTACAACAATCAAAGTAGTCTTGCACTGCACTTTATCATTTACAATCCAACAATTAGAACACAAGTATGGCACTTCTTGAAATGGTTTTGGTTCAAAATGTACACACTGTGCATGCTGGCCTTTACCACACATTGCACAATACAATAAGATACTTTTAGGTGGTGTTGTCTTGCAAAAACATGCAACAATATGAGTATCTTCATCAATAATTTTCTTTGGAACTGTACTCATTTCATTTGGTATATTCTTATACCAACTTTCTTGCATACTGAGTGAAGTACTTTTTGATTTTACTTCAAGATCTATATCGTTGGTGTATTCTATATATTTGCTAGTTGATGGTCTAGATGGGATTTGACTAAATGGTTTTCTTATACAGTCTTTAATCACAACTTTTTGGTTATAAAACTAAAAAAAAAAAAAACATTGATAAAATAATAAATATAAAGAAAATTTTAAATTAATTACTTCAGGGGGTGCTGTATTTTCCATGATGCAACATAACATTTCAACAGTTTTTCCTAGACCCATCTCATCAGCTAAAATGCCTCCACTAAACAGAGACCCATCACATTTTACAACTAAAACAAAATATTTTAAAAATCATTATACTTAGTATAACTAGGCTTAGAAGTATATTATGTAACAAAAACCATGTAGTATATGCACAACAAATATTATATTATAAAAACTCAAAAATTCAAAAAAAAAAACAATTTCATTATTATCTATTACCTAATTTGTCAAAATATATATTTTTATTATTAAATCACCAAAGATGGATACTATATTATACTAAATCAATGATAACTAATATTTTGAAGGGGAATTTTATAAATTACACACACCAACTAATGTTAATTTACTTCTCACACAGCTAAAATATAAATGCTATATGAAATGCCTAAATATTACTCCTGGAAACATGTCTAGCTCCAGACTACTTAATGTATTTTAAAACACTGTCTTTTTGTTTTTATATTTTTCTTAGTATATCACATACATTTTACTCATGTACATATTAATAACAAGATGGAGAATCAAGATAAATCTGGTTTTCAAAAAATGACATCATTTTAAAACTTTCATAATTTCAATTAAATTTCAACAACCAAAAGAAAAGAAAAGGTAAACAAAAATAAACAAAATATAATCATAAATATATAAATATATAGTAGATTTCTTAATCATAACTGATCTTGTTATTTTTTAATCCATCATTTGTAGTTGTTCCTCAATCTATTCTCTAGAAAATAATAGTAAATAAAGGTATAAAATAAAAGTAGAAGGAATTACCATACCAAAAAGTGGGGGCATTATGATATTAAAAAGTTGAACAGAAAATCAAAAAATTATATTCAGTTTATCCTGAACATAACAAAAATGAAGGGACCAATTTTTATTTTTTTGCTGGTCCGACATTTTTGTTCCATACCACTGTATTCAAGTAAAACAGTTTTTACTCTAAGTCAAATAAATAAAAATGTATATTTCCATATAAATTTAGCATATACTTTCCTACTTGCAACTGTGATTTTGTTTATTTAGGTAATTACTACATAATAAATTATATAAATTTTCAACTCACAATCGTGGTTTTTCTCTCTATCAACCATCCATTTCACAGCTCTTCTCTGATAAGCTCTAAGTGTTGGTTTAACAAACTGAGGTTGTTCAAAATCATCATTAATATGATTATGATAAGTTTTAATGACTTCAAAAAACTTAACAGCCTGTAGGTTATTCATGTTTGAAAGTCCTGAAAATATCAGGTGCATAACTGTAAGATTATTTACTTTAAAACATAGCTTATAAGTAAAAAATATTTAAATTTAATTTTAAAGCATTTCATTGATAAAATCATGTGTGATTAAGATTCCTTTGTCTGTTTTGTGTTAATTGTTATTTAAACTACTAAATCATATTGAAGAGTATCTTTAAAGTTTATAACTGAACACATTGATACTATATTCTTCTAATATATTCTATTAAATTATAAAAGAAAAATGAATAATATTATTGATCATTATGTACAAAATACATTTTAATTTTATAAATGGTACATATTACAATTCAAAAATTGATCAAACCAAATAGTTATATCTTGAATTTAAATCTTATTTCCAGTAGTTTTAATGAATCATTATAATAATATAGTCTTATGGATTGTTAAAATTTATCAAATGAATATACCTAATTATTTAAATTATTCCAAAACCTATAAAAATCAAGAAAAACATAATACTGTTGAACAATATTAAGAAATAATAGAATAGAATTAATAAACTGGAATTAATACAATATAATATTTAGAACTGACTTAGCTGTAAACAAATGATTAATATTAACACCCTTAAAAATGACTACATGCATAACAATCACAAGTATGTTAAATGCCAAGATAGTTTATACCTACTATATAACTATGTAGCTTTGTACTACGTACTACCTGATTAAGTAGTAACCAGATTAAATATCAAGAATGAGTTTTATACTAGTTCTATAGTCAAATAATATACAGGCACTTAATTAAGTTAGAATTCAAAATATCTTCTATCACATTACATGAGAGTATGAGACATTTCAAATTTGAATAGTAATTAATTAAGAAAAATGAGACACGAAGACTCAAGCAAGGAGTGAGAACACCGAATTGGCACATTAAACAAATACAATAAGGACATACTTAATGTATCTAATTTCAGCCAATTTAATCAAGCAGATTACCGAAAATCCAGCAGAAGAGTTTGACCAAGAGAAAAGTTTAACGTACCGAATATCAATATCTACAGACGAAGACCAACAGGATAATACGGCAGGTCCGATATTTAGTAGTTACATTACGAATACTAACTACTAAGCTACCATGACTATACGTAGGTACAATTGTGCCTCTAAAACGAACAAGAAATAAATTAAACATTAAAGTTTAAGCGAACTTCGTGTACATAAATTGTTTAATATTTATTACAAATTATACAATTACATTTTATAACAATATATGTAATATTGTAATAACTAATAACTTAAAACCTGATCTAATATGCTAATATTCAACTAGGTATCTTATGGGCAAAACAAATGAACACTGGGAGCGCTGTCGACGCCTATGAGTACGATGCGGGACCTCGTATTTATTTTCCGGATATTTCGCATACATTTTGCCTTAAATGAAGTATATTTATATGTATTTGATAATTTTAGTATAAATTGTACTTACCAATGTATACAGTTAGCTATAAAAGCGTATAAAGTTTCGATAACAAAATTATAATATAAGATATTATTATCTAAACATTCCGAATAGGTATGGGAGTTGAGGGCCCAATTCTTGAAATCATAATAATCATGTGACTAATTCTCATATGCGACAAAAGTCATACATTTGTTGACAAATGTTTAGGGCATGCGACATATATTTGGTATTCTTGAACTGAAATCGATGAGATTTTTTCACTTGTCGAATGCGATAAAGTAAGTCTAATAAACCACGATGGTAACCACACAAAATATAAATTTTAACCTCAAACAAATTATACAACATAAAAATATTAAATTGTTATCATTTATCACTTATCAGTAAAGTTTTATCAACGAAAATTCGAAAATAAACGATTTTTACATTAATTCACAATTTAATAATTGTTATTTCGATTTCTTTAAACTTTAAATAAATCTTTCAGTTTTTTTATTTTGTACAATGCTAACGTGCTACTATGTTAATGTTTTTTTCTGAAAAATGTCCAAATCAAGAATTAGTCAATTTCAAATGAAGACTCTAGTTGAGCTTCAAAGATCCATGACTATGTAAAGGTAAGTTTTTGTTTGATGTAAATAAATATAGCTAGTACCCAAAATAAAATAAAATACTAGTAGTTAGTGTTAGTTGTGAATTACTGTTTTAAATATTTAAGTCCCGTATTAACTCATGTAAAAGAAATTAAATTAACTTAAAATATTCATCCAGAAAAAATTTACCTATGTAGAAATTCACACAATTTAGTTTAATTTAACTCTTGTTGAGTTTGTAAATACTTTTTCTATGCATTTCATTTGAGAACACTAAACATTTTTTTACATATATACAAAAAAATTAGGTACTTGTGAAGTAGGTATTTTGAATACTTTTAAAATCTATTTGTATTAATTATATTTATCTATTTTTGAAAGACAGTATTTAAATGTGTATTTCAAATATAAATAATACTATTTAAGTAAGTATCTTAACAATACTAATTAATTTTCTGATTACAATCTAATTAATTAATAGTTTATATGAACTGTCCAACATCTAGCTTATGTACATAATATTTAAAAAAAAGCCTTATATTGTATATTGTTACGTCTATATTATAAAATTGATTAAAGTAGACGTATATAATAACTAATTAACAATTATGATTTGTATTTGATACTTTTAATTATAAGATAACTAGAGACATGATGTTGATGACCTAAATAACACACAAAAATGCCCTATAAACTTCAAAAAATTACCTAAAAAATCAACTTACTTGAGTTACTTACATAAGTGAGAAGAATTTAATTTAAAAACAATTATTATGATTAGATATATGGGTGTGATAATGGATTTCAGAGTAATTAAAAAAATTAACTGTAATAGACAATACTACAATAGTAAAAACATTTAAACTTTAAGTTTAATTTACAGAAAAAAAATATATGAAATTATTAAATTTAAATTCAAAAATAAAGTAGAAATAATAAAAAATATTATATTATTATAACAAAAACCCTTAAATATAAAATTTGAAAAAAAAACCCACATTATCCATACACTGAAAAAATGACTTAAAATATGAAAAAATTATGCAAAAATATTAAAAAATGAAGTTAAAATGGTTAAAAATGCAAAATAAAATTAGGATGTTCTTAATCAAGAAAGCATGAAATAAATTGTTAGCATTTAATAGGAGCTAAAGAAAAAAATTCAAGAGTCATCAACATCATACCTCTAATTATAACCTATACATAAAAATAAATTATTTACCTATTGTTAAGTTTTACCTAATATTAAACATACTTTAAATATAAATAATTAGATAGTTTAATATAATATACTAATATAACAATATAATATGTATTCTATATTTGTTTCTATTATAGCAGACAATAACAATGAAAATATTTCCAAGCCATTAGTCATTGCTTTCTATAAACTAGGTAAGACTTTTTCATTCATATAAAACATGTTCCTACATTATATTTTATATCATAGATCTAAAAAAAAAAAACTACCAACTAAAATCCAGTCAGGCGAAGCTGGAATTAGACTGGGGACATAGTACAACAAAAGTGCCATCTGAAAGCTGCATACTATCAATTATCAAAAATAAAAATAAATTGATGCAATAATGAGTTAGTTAAGAACTTAGGAATAATAATTATTAACAGCAATTATTGTACTACATTTATGACTAAAAAATTACCAAACTAACTGAAAAATTATTGGTATACAGTTTCTATTTTATTAATAGTTGTAAACTTGTAAACAACTATTATGATAAAAAGTTTTTATTTTATATAATATCATATATTGTTCTTTTATATCTAAAAAAAAGTTGTATACTTGTTAAAAGTTTAATAAAATATGTTTTTATATATTATTATATTTATTTTTAATAAAATAATATTTGAGTCAATTCTATTAAATAAAATATCCAACTAATATTAATATCCAACTGTTTTTTTGGTTTATAATATTAAGTTATGTATCTAAAACATCTAAAACATGATCTAAGCATCTAAAACCAAAATATTTGGTGTTAAAACAATGTTAGACAATTCAATTTATAAGAGATGTTACCTACATTTTGAACACTTTATTACAGCACAATAAAATACTTCTAGTTGCCATTTGTCTTATATTCTAATATACTTCAGTGGATTAGCCTCAGTAGTAAGATTTTCTATGGGTTATAAACAGCCATTCATGAAAAGGCTAACCAGAATCTCAAAACATTTTTATGAAAATAAAAATAATTAGGATACAAGTGAGTTTACATTAAGTATTTTGAATTTTTAATCACAAATCTAAAGTTGAATATTATTTGTATACTATTTGCCTATTGGGTGTCTAAATTAATAGGTATACATGTAATATGTAATAATATACTAATAAGATTTTAAAGTTCATACAATTGTATGTTATTTAAGTGATATCCTTTACAATTCACATAGTATATGTATTCAATACTTTGGTTGTCATTCAGATTCAAATTGATTGAAGAAGGTATACAAGTGTACCTAGTACCTACATTCAATAATCATATTTTTAATTTATTATTCATATTTCATGAATAGGTAATTAAAAACATTATCTACTCATTACGAATTTTGGTGAATTCTATCATGTTTTTTGGAAACTAAACCCAATCATGAAATATTTTAAGTTGGCTTATTTGAGCAACAACCTTGTTTATCCAGCACAGTACCTATACTGTTGGTTGGGATATTTGTAAAGTGAACTAACTTTTGTTTTTAAGTTAATCACAGACAAATGACACTTTAAGAGTACCTATATGAGTGGTTAAAAGGTCCATAGTTATAAAGAATAGTTATTTATAATCTGTTTTTTGGTGCATTTTATTCATTGAGTTTCCATTAGCTTGTCAATTATTGACGTTCATTATGTTTATCGTTTGTTGTCGCACTCAACGGTTATTTAATAAACTGCAGGCAGATACTATTGCCAAGTCAATCAGAAAAAATGTCCCAAAAGTCGATA